TCCTAATTCTGACTGTCCATAGTGGGAAGGAATAAAATCTCTTAGTGAATAAGAAAGTAACAGTCATTCATCATGACATTTTACACGAATAATTAAAACACTTGTTTAGTTTTTTGTGCCATTCTCCTCTCCCAGTAAATTCTTGGGTGAAGAAATATGGTCCCTGATACTTTGCCGCTAGCTTTATCTGTGCGCTGTGGATACAACCTCATGAGTGGTGTGCTGAGTTTTACTTTGTTGCTAGATGAGATAGGATCTTCACTCTTCCTCAGCCGTAGCCCTGATATGAGAAACAATGATCATGGTCCCACTAACTCTCTGTCTAATGGGAAACAGTAGTTCCTTTGAAGTCAAAGGGCCTTATCCATGGCTAGAGTTGATTTAATGATGGGCTTTGTAAGAATAGGCACCAGATGCCTCCTGGTGAGCAGTGCTTAGGGGTCCAGATACAGGTGTCCATGGATTTTGGTCTTGGTGGCTTCTCTCACAACAAACACGGTGCTCTGCCTGCTGAGGCAGGGCTTTTGGCCCTGGCCAGAGGAACATGTGTCGGTTCCCGTCTGTAGAGAACTTCTTCCTGGGGAGGCTTTGGGAAGGGACACGACAGTTGCAGGCCAGGTCAAAGCATCTCAAGGAAAGAAGGTGAGGGAGATCCCCAGAATAGGAAAACTGGAAGTGACATGGCAGAACTATTGGGCAGATTCTACCAAGCCGGAGCCTGGAAGCTTTCCTTTCCGAACATGGGTGCTCCCTGCATTCAGATAAGACATTTTCCTAGGCTGTACCAGTGAAGTCCTGGGAAAATGGCTCCTTCCAGCAAGTTTCCCTTAGAGCCTAGAGCAGGTCACCAGTGCCCAACCTAGTGTTTGATGATATACTCAGATTTCAAGAGTCTAGAAAGTTCGTCAACCTCTGACTCCTAACTCTTCCCAGTGCCCATTCATTAAATCCCATTGGCTGGAAATGCCAGTATTTCCATGGGATGTTGTTGTGCTCTTATCGTTGTGCATGGAATATGGAGCTGACATGAAGCAGCTGTGAAACTTTAAAACACGATGCTGCCCCTGCCAGATGTGAGGATTCAGCCATACCTTTTCACTGACCTGAACTCCAGACTTCTCTGATTTTTAAAAAGCACCACGAATGCTGTTTTTTAATGAAGACTGATTGCTTTTGGTATAATTTGGATATTATACCAAAAGAGTCAACCCAAAAATCTTTGTTTTATCTCTACTAAGAGTTACTAAAATCAAAGTTACCCCTAGGCAGACAAAAGGCTGTGGGGCTTCCAGGAACCTTTCATTCCTTGGCATTTAACATCTGGAGTTTGAGTTCATTAACTAGAGATTTTATGTTTGGAAGGTATAGTGAGTTCCTGTACTATAGGGAATCGAGCCACATGTCTAAGACAGATGGCTATCAGGATCAGGGATTTGAAAATCAGGTAACTCTAACATTAATTGTGATGTCTGTAAGTTTATTGTATTTTGACATTTTAAATATCAGTAGCAACACAGAAATCAAGTTGGTTGAAACAATTAATCCTCCCTTTTTAAAGGAAGTGTTATTATTTGTGGCTCTAGGAGTTTGGCTCTAAAATAGAGGTGCCTCCAAAATGGAAGGTTTTGGGGAAAGACTTACAATAAAGCTCTGTTCAGCATCTATATTGAATAATAATCATTTTATAGTATTATCAAAATGTGAATATTTTAAGCATGAAGTCTTGGTATAAATACAGTAAGTAGACTGTTGTAGTTTACACGGTGTAAACTAACAAAGAACAGAATGGCTAATAGCTAGGCAGGAGCGGTAAGGCAGGACTTCTGGGCAAAGAGAGGGACTTGTGATGAATCTAGGCACGCAAGAAAGACACCAGCAAGACACGGAGGGAGTCAGACATACAGAATGGAGGAGAGGTTAAAAAGCCACATGTCAGAACATAGATTAATAGAAACAGGCTAATTTAAGTTACAAGAGCTAGTTGGGAACAAGCCTAAGCCAAAGGCAAAGTTTCATAATTAATAATAAGTCTTTGTGTCATTATTTGGGGACTAGTGGTTCCAAAAGAAAAAGTCTGACAAGAAAGACCGGTTGCATCAGACAATCAAGGTAGGCAAGCTGTCATAGAAAAATCTTGACTAAGAGATCTTTCTTAAGGGCTGGCCCAGATCTTTGACTCAAGAGGGAGTCACCTAAAACACCCAGATGGGTGACCCAGGTGGGATCCAGCTCGTTCAGTATAACTGAAATGGAACAAGTACATGTCACAGAGGTCTGATGACCCCTTGTCTCTGAAGAGCAGCTTAACCACAGCCTCCAGATCCCAAGCTACCATAAAAAGTTTGCTTATTGCAGTCCCCTTTGCCTGTGACAGCCCCCTTTCCTTAGGGCTCCCCTTTTATACTCCCACCTGACTAAAAGCACCATAAAACCCCAAACTCCTCTTGGGCAGTGCTGAATTCTCTTTTCTTGGGCACAGCCCGGCAGTCACACCCCGAGTAAAGCTTTGCCTGCTAGTCTCAGCCTGGCTCCTGAGGTCTGGTTTTCTTGGTAAGCCAAGCAGTACTAGCATCCTCAATTGTAGTTTTTTAAAACCAAGATCGCTGTTATTTCTATTGTTTAGAAAGTGTACCAAGGAAAAAAATAAGTCAGACAACTCTGTAGAGACCTAAATATGAACTGGTTTAAAGGAGGAGGGAAGGGAGTGAGAACTGGGATTGGTATGTAAAATTTAAAAAGATAGTTTTTTTAAAAATAAAATAAAAAAATTAATAAATTAAAAAGAAAATGCTCTGATACTAAAGTGTTCTCACAATGTTGGTAAAAGAAAGAAATGTATTGTAAAAGAGCTGTCTAGCAGAAATGTGCAAGAGGGGTTGGGGTTCTGTTTCTTGCAGTGCTCAGTTGTCACTGTGGTTGAAGATGAGTAACCCCCAGTTCTTCGGAAGCTACCTGCATGTGTCCTCAGAAGGACCGGGCACCGATTTTAAGGTTAAAATGCGACCTAACAGTTTATCTCTTGAAATTTTGTAGCACAAGAGATCGGCAGAAGAACCTGAAGGCAAAGGGAGGCTTTGACTTACTGTCGTTTCCAGCAGGATGAAGAGATGATTTTATCAACTACCACACTGCAAAGAAGTTAGCTTCGTGTGTGTGTGTGTGTGTGTGTGTGTGTGTGTGTGTGTGTGTGTGTGTAATGAAAGGAAATCCTGAATGCATCTGCCTCCTGTTAAAATGGAACCCAATGGGTTTAAAAATACACACACACACACACACACACACAAAAAATGAGGATACAAAGTTAGGCAGGTCAGGAAAGAGAGGTGGATCTGTTTGGGGATAGAATGAACACGGTCAGAACACAATGTAGGAAATTCTCAAAGAATTATTAAGACTATTCTTACATGAACTTTTAAAGGATATAGAAAAGGATAAACCTTCAAAAATGCATATGCTCACCATACATGAAAGCCAAATCAATTTATGGCTGACAAATTCGAAGGAAAAATTCAAAGGATGCTCACAGAAACACATTTCAGGGTCGGACAGGAGATTTTCAGTCAGCTACGTATCTACATTGTGCCCTGAAATATAGAACACAATCTTTATTAATGGAGCCCTGTTGGTCCTAGCTATCCCACATTTGGGCCTTGAAGTACCTGCTTTTGACAGAGAACACCTTCTTTAAAAATCTTGCTAGTTCTAAAAGCTAAGAGACTCGGGCCTGAGGAGAGGGAATAGAGGGTAAAGTAGTTGCTGCTCAAATGTGAGAACCAGAATTCAAATCCTTAGTACCCACATAAGTGCTAGGCAGGCATGGTGACTGTGCTTTCTACAGCTTTTATAAAGATTATAATCAAAAGCAATTTGGAGAGGAGAAGATGTATTTGACTTACACACTCTGGTCATAACCTATCAAGGGAAGCTGTCTTGGTTACTGCTCTAATCTGTAAAAAGACATCATGACCAAGGTGACATTTCTAAAGAAAATCATTTAATTGGGTGCTTGTTTACAGTTTCAGAGGGTTCCCATTATTTCCATGGTGGGAAACAGGCAGATGTGGTGCTCGAGCTGTACCTGAGAGCTTTCCATTCTCTCAGGCAGGAGAGAGAGAGAGAGAGAGAGAGAGAGAGAGAGAGAGAGAGAGAGAGA